TCTTTTTTAATAAATCTGCAAAAATGTCAAAAATTCTGTGTTTTTCTGTCAATATGGGGTGCTGTGTGTACATTAATGAGGAAAAAAATGAACTTAAATGATTTTAGCATATGGCTGCAATATAACAAAGAGTGAAAAATTTAAGGGGGTCTGAATACTTTCCGTACCCACTGTATCTCAAAAAAATCACTGGACTAGCACTAAAAGTGGATTTTTGCTTTAAATATGTGCAATTTGTACACTGGTGCCTCAACCTCCCTGATTCAACTAACAGCCAATTGCTTGTTTTTGACAATGCGTTGATGTACCACTTTGTTCATCCTGTAAACTGAACTGCTGGATGGTTAGCCTGGGCTCTTACTTCTTTTGGCATCTACGATGTTCACAGCCTTTATAAGCAGGGCGGCATTAGACTCCGTGTACTCCACAAACACCAGCAGCAGCTTCAGTGCCGTCTTCACCACCAGACGGAACTACACAAAGAGATAAACATAGTTAATACAGAAATACAGGTACAGCATCGGCCCCCAAATCTAAGGACAGGGCACAACAGTTAATTATGAACTTAATGTTTGTGTTAACAAACATGGACCAACATGACAGAGTAGGTGCTGGCCCTTTAAATTCCAAATACTAAGTGGCATCACATTGTCTTAGAAAAGCTGTCTGAACAATCTTGTGAGCTTTGATAAGAACTGTGTTTGACACTGACAGCTCATGGGAACATACTGTACAATAGTCAAACAGTATGCAAATACCACAAAGGTAAAAATGACTAAAATCTGCATAAAACAATAATGTTTTGGGTAATGTTAAACAGTGAAACAGAGATATTTCAAAATGCACCAAGGCGGCTGTGGCTCAGGAGGTAGAGTGGGTTGTCTCCTAACCGGAAGGTTAGCAGTTCGATTGGCTTGTCCAGTCCATGTGTCAAAGTGTCCTTGAGCAAGACACTGAACCCCCAGTTGCTCCTGGTGATGTCACCGGTGTGTGACTGTGTGAATGCTTGGGAGTGCGAATGGGTGAAAGCGCTTTGAGTGTGCTGCAATGCAGAAAAAAGCGCTATACAAGTATAAGACCATTTAATGAAGCAACTTACACTAGCATTTAATATGAAAAGAAGAGAGAAAACTGTTAGAGAGGGGAGCTGAGCAGAACTGGTTAAAATCAGGTCACTGAACCACCAGCATTAATTTGACACTTCTGACCAGCTACCCAACCAGCATTAAGACTGGACAAGCGACATGTTAATGACCATGGTCAAAATACACTTTGTACTGCCAAATGAAAAGAAGAAATACCATATCATTATTAACACAGGAAGGCAGAAATGTAATTAATAAGAATAGAAAATACTCAATGCAATTTCATCATCTGAAATCAGCTGTACATGCTGCAGTCTGGCCACTAGAGGGCTGAAGTGACTGCAGTGACAGGAGGGCTGCTTGCATGTCTGACGTTTCAGATGAGAGAACTATGTGGTTATTTCAGCTTTGTCAAGACACAGATGAGTTGATTTTGAAGTATATCTACTGTACAGCTGCGGCGGGGGTGTTGTAAAAATAAATATTCATTTTCTTTACCTTGGATCCGACTAGGGTGTAAAGCCACTGCACCGTTTCATTGTGAGATATGAGGCCGTTCATCCCATCTACATACAGCATTATCTGACCAAGAGCTGGAACAGAGAGAACAGAGGGAGAGAGGTCTTGATTAATCAACTGCTTAACAGTCCGTCACATCTGCCCTGCTCAACATGAAAACAAACCACAACAGCAAGTGCCTGCTCTGAATCTAGTGGATATGTGCACTTTGAAAACCCTGAATCTCGGTGGAATTCTTTACATTTTCCACAGATTTTTCCTCTGTGGTAGTTGCATGTGCACACATAAAGCAGCAGCCACACTAATACACAAACCCCTGTATTGTTAGTGAAAGGGATCAATTCATCTGCCCACAGTGATTCATCCACACACAAACTGGAGCTGCTGCAGGGACAAACTATTCAAACAACAATTAGATGAAGGCCTAAAAAGAAAAACAGCACTTGTCTGCCATCCCTCAAGTCTGAGGACACAACATGGGGGAAAATATCTGAGCAGAGTGCCTCAATGGATGACAACAAGACTTCCATCTGTAACAGGATACATATATAAGAACCTAATAGAAGCCAAGCGACTCAGTGGAGTTCAGTGAAAGTGTAGGGCTTCTGTTGAAGAAGGGAGATGGGGGAAGGGAGACAAACACCCCTGGACTGGAGTGGAACAGACAAAAACTCCCTTCAGAAATATGGAGTCTTTGTTTAACAGCAACTCCAGTGGCCATCAAACACAAGGAGTTACTGCCTTCACACAGAATACCTCAGCAACAGGACGAGCTCAGCATGAACCCGCCGCCATTTTAGGTGATACATTAGCTGATGCAGGAAAGAGCCTGACACACACTGAATATGAAACAGCTTCAGAAGGCCTGTTTGACCTTTTCTTGGAAGAATCTATAGTTCTGGGGAAGGTGAAAAGTTTGCAGTGACCATGCTCAGAGATGTGTTAGTGATGCAAACACTGACACACCAGGTGCTCTGAACTGAAAAAAACAGCAGAACAATAAAGTTTGATCTCCGACCAACAACCAGATAAAATACTCATACAAACTTACTGAATGCTAACTTATAACGTGCCATCCATTCTCCTCTTGCTGGGTTTAAAACTTTTTCTTATGACATGTTATGATGAGAGGCTGCAGCTTGTGTCATATATTTTTCCTCTCCTCTTCTCTAGAGGGGAATGAAAATCGTGAATATGCTGTAGACAAGCCAAAATTCCCAGGTGCAGCTGCTGTGTGTGAGAGTGTGTGTGTGGGTGGACGGATGAGTGCATGTTGATGGCCCACTGAAGCAGCAGCAGTTCATCTTTAATCAATCAGGGTTAATTACTAACAACAAGTAGGCCAGAGCATTCCTAACACTCCTCTCCTGCTGCAAGCTCGGGGCTGTATGTCACAACAGTCAGCGGTGTGGACAATATGGCGCTTCAAAGCAGATCGCATCAGAGTGTGTTTGTAAAGCCAAGATTAACCCCCTCAGGCAGCACGGACCAGAGTTTGTCACCCTTTACCCACCCACTTTGGATGGGGCCACTGCTGACAGATGAGTGACAGCGGTGATGACACGATGCACAGCTGGTCTACAGAGTCCAACATGGATTCAATAAAATGTTTGTTAAAAAGTTCTGACTATGTAAAATAACAATGCACAGCAACTTTTTATACATGGACACAAACAGTTGTGACTTCTGTTGGATTAGTAAAGAGCTACAGGGTGTTTTTTGCAGCCTAGATCTGACCTGCAATGTCATCACTGCACAGACTTTTATCTCCTGGCTGCACCTGTGTGCACGATCTGCCCCGGTGCAATGGAGTTTTGAGGAATGTTCATTGAAAATACGGATGAGAAAAGATAGGTGGCCTTAATGAGGCTTTTAAAAGTGTCATTACACAGCATGAATGCTCTGCTGCTGACAGATGAGATGTTAGTGATTGTTCCCAAAAGTCAACCACAAAATGATTGTTCTTAACATGTTATCATAAGACATTATTTAAACATTTCACAGATGCATGTGGCTTTTCAGCATGTAGCCAAGCAAAATAAAATCAGAATGAATGCCTACATCATGTCAGTTTAATTTAGTGAGAAATGATCTATTTAAACACTTATGAACCTCGCCAGAAACCACACAATCATGACTTTTTCTCTCAGATTCATTAAAACTGCTGCTTCATGGAATTATTCAATGCCAGCTGCCATTTATGTACAACTCAACTTTAAGGACCTGAAACCACATGGCCTGCAGTTACCCTATGAACAGTTAAGTAAAATGATACTGTAACTGTCTTTAAAATAATACATACAAAATTGCCTTTCATTATGGGAAACTGCAGCCTTCAGAGTATGGTCAGAAACATCTAATTACTCTCAAGCACTCACCTTTTTGAACTGCAAGTGGAACTGATTTCCACACACTTGAGAGTAAATTGGTCATGAAACTGCTCCAGAAAATGAAAAGTTACCTGTGTGTTGCAGTTCAGGCTTTAAAAGTGAGATCAAATCCTTACAGTGTGGTGCACTTCTGTAGATAGCTGTGGGCCCAGAACTTGGGCTTTGTTTATTAAACTCTACAACAGACAGTCATCGATAAGTTAGGTAGAGGGTTAATAAGAAGAGCATGTGAGTGCTGAGTCTGTACAGGACTCCCTCGACTTCAAGCGCTGATCTGGGGCCAAAAATGTGGACCTCCATTTGCGTAATCATGAGCAGCCATACAATACCTCACACAAAGTACAACAAAAACATTGCTAAGTCTTTTTGCATGTATGTCACGCAATGAGATGCTGGCAGACAATTTTCTGCCTTCAAAGCACAGTGATTAGAATTTAAATGTAAGCCATTATGGGAAAGGACAGCCGAGGAAGAGCGATTTAGCTTAGGAGAAACTTGGAAGCGTCCTATGAGCAGCCTGGCGTCTGTCCAGCTCTCTCACACTCCATACATTTGTCTTAAGCGTAAATACAAGATTTGAATGGCATCAAGCTGCAGAAGGGAAGCACAAGCCTCCTGATGGGAGGAGACAGGCCGTGTTCCGGTGTCTGAACCAGAACTCTGACAGAAGTGAAAGCTCAACCAGCCTGGTCCTCAGGGCCTCTCCCTCTCATAAACCACAGCAATTATGTTCCACAGCCCCAGGAATGTGCAGGAAGGGCTGCTCCCTGACCACCGCCGAGGTGAGAAGCACTCTTGAGGTTTGTGTGGCAGCACCAGCATGAGCTGACTCGTACACAGAAAAATTAAGAAAGGCCTTATCTGCAAAGATGCAAGAAATCAACTCAACAGCTTCTCTTCAACAAATCCGTCCGCTCCCCCTCCACTCAACACTCTGCCACTTTGGTTTCATTTACATTTTGGAATTCATCAGAACTGGGTTAGCCAAACTGTCTGTCAACATGCAGCATTTATTTTACTGGGGCTTCAGGACAGGGGCCAAATCTCCATCCCATACAGTGCAACTTAGAGCCTCTTATCTTATGTTTTGCAATAGCCAGGAGCTGCACTCCCAGCTCAGAAACGTGCCTCCCTGTATCCACGTGAGCTGCACGGACTTTACTGCAATGTCTGGCAAAGACTTTTTATGTAGATTCTTGTTCTACTCTGTCAATGTGTGCCCTAAAAACTAAAACACACATTTTCAAAGTGACAATGTTTAATCGACAGTAAGGACTGTCGGCATTCTTTTCACTCATATTTGAGTAAATAGTTTGAGTAATCAATATTTTTATAATGACAATGGAATACATAACTACTTGTATGTGAAAGGCAGCTCTTAAAAAGGTCTAACACTCCATTTTACACTCCCTGCCCCACACCAAACGTGACAGATATTTCGCTTAGGAGTCACCGGTGAGAAATTAGAGCTAAAATGTAAGTGAAAATTGGACTAACATTTACTGTATCAGGAGGCCAGACACAACATTAAATGAATGCTAATGCTGCTCCAAATCGGCTGGCTGTAGAAAAAGGTTCGACTAAATGTCCATCATTCACTATTCTAACATTCTCTTAGCAACAATGCTAGCATGCTAATGCAAAGCAAGTGTAATGTTTACACTACTCACTGTCTTAGTTAAGCATGTTAGTATGCTAACATCTGCTAAATAGCACTAAACACACTGTACAGTTGAGGTTCACTGTCATTAGTTTAGGTATTTCGTTATAAACAGAGAATGACCAACAAAGCACTGGACAAAATTTTGAATTGATAATGCCTTTACATATAAAGTCTAGGGACCACTAAAGAGATCACAATTCATCCTGAAGAAGAACTTGACTGTGTATACCAAATTTGATGCCAATTCACCCAACTGTTGTTAAGATCTTTTAAATCTGAACCAAAGTGATGAACCAACCATTTGACATTGCCATCCCAATAAAAAAAAAAAAACTAGCTGTCCTAATAGTGACATGATTTTGTAGTGGCATGAAGAGACAGTAATGCGGCATTTCATTTGGCTTATGTTGAAACCTGATACACTTCCTTTCATCCTGATGTGTTTCACTACTATATCCCTGCCTTTGATTTAGAGTCTGTCTGCCATAAAACAATTAAACAGTTGTTAGTGTACATGAGCTGGATTAGACATGTTCATGAGTTATGTTCCATTACCCAGACCATTAAAGCCAGAAAGTGACTGTGCCAGACCAATGCCAGTCACAGAGTCCACTGCCAGACATTGAGCCCCATACAACAAAACAACATGGGGATACTCCTTTATTGAGATCTGGATATATGTCTGCCAGCATTTGACACAATTTACCAGGGGCCTAAGCCCAAACAAATTCCCTAAAGACAAAAAAAAAACTGACCGAATAGAACAATAACAAAGTAAAGCCAGGTGAGCTTCTCCAGGATCTGGCTGAACAAACTCTGGAGACATTGCGAACCTGACAAACTACTGCCGTTCTGAGCAAGGCAAAGTCAGCTGAGTAGACTACAACACTGTAAGGACAAAAACAAGGCTAATACCACAGCCCTTAAGAAAGAGAGTTGTGACACTGAAGGGTTCAGAAAAAGCAGCAGGCAATGCAATTCATGAGTCTCAAATAGTTCCAAATAGTCCATAAAGATTCAT